TGAACATATAAACAAATTTAAATTTTTAAAAAATTTTACAGATGAATTTAATAGTTTAATATTACTGTATTTTATAAACTATCAAAATAATTTCGATATATACGTATATGTATATATACATATATATAGTCTGAGTTGTATATATCAAATGCGATTTTGCTGCCACCAGGAATTTTGTACAGAATTTTGGCTGTATTCCTACTGCTTAGATTCAATGTATTGCAATTATTAGCAGTCAAAAAACTTTATCAATAAAAAAATTAAATAATAAATTAAAATATCATATAAATAATTTTTATTTACTTTCTTCTAATATTACTTAATTTAATAATTAAATCTTAATTATTAATATTATCGTAATTAAGAAAAACTAAAGTGTATATGTATATATATATATATGTATAGAGTATATGCGAGTATAGTCGCGCCGCCAGCCCAATTAGTTAATTAAGAATGTAAAAGAGTTGGCGGACAGCACAGGATTGATCGTACCAAATGTGACGAGGAGATTAGAAGTATACCAAATCAAATTTACATACATACATACATATATATATATATATGTATATATATCAAATTTACGTAACTTGTTTATATTTGTGAATTTCTACAGCTCTCTCCACTATAAATACCCACCACCCAGTTCACTTGTTCTTCACCATTTCACAAATTCTAAACTACAAACCAAATCATCCCTTGTTCAACCTCCAGCCATGGAAACTACCATCAGCGACACTTTCATCCAATCCCTGGAGCACAGACCCAAACTCAAAGTCAAAGAAGTCAACGAAATCCCACTCATCGATCTCTCAACCTCAACACCCGCCGATCTCAAACGGGTCGCCTCAGAAATCGGGAATGCCTGCGAGAACTGGGGTTTTTTTCAGGTAAAAAACCACGGAGTTCCCTCGGTGCTCCGTGCGAGAATCGAGGAGACAGCGAAAGCGTTCTTCGATCTGTCTCTAGAGGAGAAGAGGAAGGTGAAAAGAGACGAAGTGAATCCGATGGGGTATTATGATAGTGAGTACACTAAGAATGTAAGAGACTGGAAAGAGTTGTTTGATTTCATGTTGCAAGATCCAACTCTCGTTCCGGCTTCGCTTGATCCTGATGTTAAGGAGTTGAGGGTTATAAGGAATCAATGGCCTGATTATCCTCATGATTTTAGGTAATATATCTCGTATATACTAAATATATATATATATATATATGCATGCTATACATAAAAATAAATGGGGACAGCTTCATATTTCTCCATTTACAAGTTACAAATTTCAATGGTAAAACACGTTAAGAGCTTGAGCATCCGGCAGCAAGAGAAGGTGGTATTTATTTATATACTCTACCCATATGCATATATATGCGTATGAATATATACATGTATAAAGAGATGGCACAACAAGCATGCATGAGCAGAAAACAGATGGGATTAACTGCTCAAGCTTTCTTGAAGTACAGTTATATAACTATACACATAACTCAGTAACATTAAGTTTGATTTTGCAGGGAGACATGCGAGGAGTACGCAAGAGAAGCAGAAAAGCTAGCATTCAGGATACTGGAATTAATATGTTTAAGCTTAGGATTAACTGATTTCAACCCCCTGAAAGACTATTTTAAAAGGCAAATAAGCATGTTAAGACTGAATCATTATCCTCCTTGCCCTAATCCTGAGTTAGCCCTTGGAGTTGGCCGGCACAAGGATCCTGAAGTCTTAACTGTTCTTGCTCAAGATGATGTTGGAGGATTGCAAGTGAAGCGGAAATCCCATGGTGACTGGATTCATGTCCGACCCATCCCAAATACTCTTATCATAAATGTTGGTGACATCGTGCAGGTACATATACACACACACACACACACATATATATATATGTTTTTGTGTAACTGAGGTACTAAATAGTTAAGCTTAAGAGGCTGTGCTCCATAAATTCCTCATTTGAATACATCATCTACGATATATATATATATATATTAAACATAAGTATCACATATTCAAATTTGTTCAAACTCAGTGTAACTTCTCTGATTATCAAGAATTATGTATGTAGGTATGGAGCAACGATAGGTATCAAAGTGCAGAGCACAGAGTGGTGGTTAACTCCAAACGAGAGAGATTCTCCATGGCGTTCTTTTTATCCCCCGGTCATAACGTTATGGTAAAACCTCTTGAGCATCTTGTGGACGAACAAAATCCTGCCAAATTCAAAGAGTACAATTGGGGGAACTTCTTCGTCGCTAGAAACCGAAGCGATTACAAGAAACTCGATATCGACAACATCCAAATCGACAATTTTCGGGTGTGATCTGGACAATAATTTTCATAGATAATCGATATAGCTTATAATAAACGATCTTGTGAGAATAAATTAAATTATCTCCCGTAGTTATAAGCTTAAGATCACCGAGACACGAAAAAGAGTGTTAAACATTCTTAATGTCTTATTGGCTATTGTGACATGTTAATTGGAATCTCCCACCTCTTTTGTAATATAAATTAATAAATTCTCAACTATCACTTAGTCCGACATAGTTGCTACTGTTTGTTATCTCTACGAGTTTATAAGTTCGAGTCAGATTTACGTTTATATATATTCTCCTTAGGAGACTTATTATCTTGTTGTTTATTAAGATTTTGATCGTGCGTTACCGATATGAATCGCCACAACTAAACTCAACTTACTCATTGTGACCCGAACAACACACTGACGAGTTAAACTCTCAATTTTATTTAATTAAACATTATAAATCGATCACCGCCAGATCATTAAACACGAAAATAAGGCATCACCGTTATTAGTATCTACCACAATTTAAAATTCCTTTTACACATATATTTATATATATGCACTAAGTAAGAATTTTTATAAAAATATAAATAATAAATTAATTTACTATTAATTGAAAATTTTAAGCCCGGCCCAGTAATGTCAAATGCTTGGACCAATTTTCTTTCTGTATAATTTATTATAATTTTCTATTTTTTAACTCTCTAATTTTCATTTATTATATTATTTTAACGTGTAATTAATTTTAATAATAATTAACTATTTATTTCACTCGTAAGTAATTAAAAAATTACCATTAACCAATATACAATTCTAACTTAACCAGCAAAATGTGACGGCCAAGAGTTCTACCGAGAAACTACAGTCGTTAGCCATCGAGAAATTTACTATATTAGTCAGTAGTTGACGACTTTAGTTTCTCAATGAGACTATGAACCGTGACAAAAAAATATGTGAAGAATACGTTAAAGAAACAGAAATGTTAGCTTACGAGTTAGACGAAACTTATAACTTTGAGCTTTTGTGGCTTCTTCGATTATTATTACCCGCCTTGCCCTCTTCTTCACCGTAGTAAATTCGTTGTTGGTTCAAATCGGATTATGTTTTTCGTTTCGAGATATATTATCGATGGTGTATGTGAATCGTTTAATAATTTATTCAAATATATATTATGGTCCTTTATTTTTGGTAATAGTAAATTATATATTATTGTTGATTCGAGTTTGATTTTTTTGTTTTTTTAATTTAATAATTCAATGATTGAATTAATATAAGCTAATGTTTTGATTAGGGACGACGACTTAATTAATTAATTAATTTAATCAAACATTAAATTATCAAGAGGATAAAAAAGAATCTAATAATTAATTGAAAACCATCGTGTGTTTATTTTCTTAATTTTCCAATTTTTAATTAATAAACAAACACTAGACAGATAATAAGAACTAGAACGTGCAAGCTATGTATGAGATATATATATATATACATGTATACTCTCACGATGCAAACAATGTATATATGTATACATATATATATATATATATATGTGTGTACATCCCATTTCAAGAAACAAAAAATAAAACGAAAATCCGAAATCAAATTTCATTAGGTTGATCACTAAATTAAATTGATAAATTCATGATTAACCACCATGAACTATATATATATATATATATATATATATATAATTTTCAAAATCATATATATAATTAGCTTCTATCAAATGGTACTATAATCATATATATAATAGTTTTAATTTTATAGATCTATAATTTTGAATTAAGAAAATTAATTAATTAATTAATTAGTTAATAATTCATTTAATTTGAGAAATTCTAATTAATATTAACTTTTTTCTCTGTTCATGGATGACTCAGACCAATAATTGAACTTATGCCTTGGTTGGCTTGTACTACAGTTCTGTCTGCTAGCTACTTCATTGTTCTTCTTCTGTATCTCCTCGCTTCCCGTGAATCATCCTTCCAAATCTCACTTTTCTAGTTTGAATTTAGAAAAACCAGAAACTGGGTTCTCAAAAATCGAATAAACCCAGAAAGAAAGCATGAAAATTTAATTAATTAAGCTTACAACTCAATGTGAATTGTGAAATGAAAGGTTTTATCCAGACATCGGGTTAATGGAAGAACCCTAATTTGAAATAGAGGTTCTGATCGGATGTAATGGGTAATTCACGAAAAGATCAAACTCGATTCATATTATTCATCCATATATATATATATATATGTGTGTGTGTGTGTATATGTAGCTCATCCAAAAACTATCATACATTCACGGTAAGTAACAAAATTCCCATCTACCAAAACTGGAAAAAGCAAAAGAAACAAGAAACAGAGAGACCCGAATGGAAATGAATTTCACCAAAAAAAAAAAAAAAAGGAAAGGACAAAAGTTGGGAAAGTAATGTGATTTTTTACCAACCTCAAACTCCATGAATATACAAAGAGCAAGCTGACGGCGAGACACGTACTTACACACACACACACACACACGTGTATGTATATATGCAAGGGTAATTTCATGGAAGAAAGCCAACAAAGGGGGCGGGAGTATTAGAGTAAGGCTGGGTGGTTAGCTGTGGCAGATTGTTCTGCTGAATCACAATTCCCACAGCTTCAGCCACAACGATGACGAAATCTATTGCCAGTCTCACCATCTCTATGCATATCTCCAATCTCTGAAGCACCATTTTTGCAGACGCTACTAAATCAAGCTCTTGAAATATTGACTGGTTACGGCTTCTGGGTATGCTCTATTTCTTCTTCTTCTTCTTCTTCCTTCTTTTCTCCGCGTAACTTGTTTCAAAAGCCGGCTACATGCAAATTTTATATAAATATATACATACACAGCTCTTATATATATATATATATATGTATGTATGTATATTACTAGTGGCTACAGAAGAAGATAAACATACCCAGTAGTCAAATAGCCAAAACGATTAGACTGGAGCTGCTTGAAGCAAGCTTAAATATGGCCTTTGGTGGCTTCAAAGGGCATGTTTGGGAGTCTTGTTTCTCCCTTCAAAAATACATAAAAATTTATTATTTTATAAATTTATTAATTACTTATAATAATTAATTAAGTAGAATCAAAAAATAAACTGTGATTAATTAAATTTTTATAATTATTAAAAGAGACTTATAGGGTCGCCACCAAATCCAATAAGCATAAGCCAATTGTAATCGTGCTTAACAACTCTCTAATTTAATATAAAAGCTGATTTATAAATCTTGAGAAGATGTAGAGATTGATGTTTATCCAAATTCATCAGCACTGATGATGACTTCTCTTTTGATTTATTTTAAAGCAAATAAATAAAAGCAGTAAATTAAGCACTTTTTTTTTTAAAAAAAAAGCACTTTTCCTGTTACCGTTGAAATAAACAACTTAAATTACTTCTTCAAATCATCGTGTAGATGAAACTGACACCTCCAATAATGGAACTGGGTCCGCCCTACCCGACAGAACGCACAACACACGGGTATGGAACCATGTTTGTCCTATGTCAAATGATCCACATACATACATACATACATACATACATACATACATACATACACACACACACACACATACATACATACATTCATACATTCTCTACCTAGTACTACTTCTCATGAGACAACTAAATTCTGGTTTTACTTAGTAAATCATTAGTCATGTTAAGATTGACCACAAAATCCACCGGGTCCTCCGTAAGTAAAACAATAACCAAAACCCTCGGGTCCCTCGAACCCGTCGTTACTGAATCCGTAACACATAGGTCTCTCCAAATACTCGGTTACATCGTATTTACGATCAGGAATTCGAGCATAAAAATCACCATCGACGTAAGCAACATCGTCGAAAAATGCGGAATGTGTATAATCTCCGTCAGGTATATGGCCGCTGCCCATCGGTGGACTCCTTCCGTCATCTCCTGGCACGGCAACGCCTCCCCACCCTACTCGATTCGGTCTATCATTTAAGTTTGCGAACAATTCTTTTGGCCAATATCCTACGAATATGTAGGGATCTGAAATCGTAAGCCACCAATTTCCTGTACGTTGATCCTACGATGAGAAATTTAACATTTTTTAACCAAGTTAACAAAATAATTTATGCATCGGATTTGGACTATGATTATTTTTTTAATTAAAAAAAAATTTTACCTCGAAAATAGTATATTTCTCCGTATAAATTTTACCGCCATACGTAGAAATCGTACTGAATGGAGATCCCGGAGAAATGGATCGATGAACTTGTACATAACCCTTGCAAGCAAAATTAAAACACCCTTCTTGTTTTTCATCCCCATCACCCTATCATCGTCATTAGTTAATTAAGTAAAATTAAAATTACCATTGAGGAAAAATATGTTTATAGAACGAAAAAATATTTAATTTTGTGAAATCTTTTTGTAGATTTCATGTATCGTACATAATACTTACTGCCCAATATGCAAAAACTCGAGTTCTACCATCACCAAATATGTCGAGCGATGTCTAAAAAAAAAAAAAATTATCCGATAAATAATTATCACTATAAAATAATGAAGTATGTTCTGGTAAAAAGGATGTCAGATAATAATTTACCATATGTCCGGTAGCAACCATGTTTTTTGGTCGATCTTGAGTATTTTCAATCCAAATAGTCAATGCACTAATTTGATGTTGCTCGACGGGAACATCATATACTGTGATATATGTGAGTAAGTTCATCTTTTGATTTGATACAAGCCGACTGAAAAAAAATAAAAAAAAAGACAAAAAACTAAATAGAATAAGTAGTTCTTCGGATCGATTGTAGTTTCCGCTGTAAATTTTAAAACTAGTGTTAAAATAATTGTTCACATCGTAACTTTTATGTTTAAACTTATCAAAAACATTTTCGGACTTGGATTTTGTTAAAAGTACTTTGAATTTTATCATTTTCGTTTAATCAAAACCAAAATTTCAATTTAATCAAATAAAACCGACAAGTTTAGGATTAATGAAAGTATAATCAAG